CAAGACGGCACCTTTTACGAAATATAAGCTGACTTTGACGAAACATTAGGCAACTTTTTTATTCAACATAGAGCGCCTTTTAAGAAACACGAGACGACTTCACTTATAAAGCCAACATTTTCTTTTCCCGACTAGCGAAAGGTCGCATACTTAGGAACACATAAACCTTTCTTACTCCTATCACTGCTCTCGCTAAACAAGAAACAACACAACAACTTGTCGTCGCACTGTCGAAACAAACAAAATAACCTTTTGTCATTGAGCTGGGGAAACTTGGAAACTGTTCATTTCTTCTTCTTCTTCTTCTTCTTCTTCTTCTTCTTCTTCTTCTTCTTCTTCTTCTTCTTCTTCTTCTTCTTCTTCTTCTTCTTCTTCTTCTTCTTCTTCTTCTTCTTCTTCTTCTTCTTCTTCTTCTTCTTCTTCTTCTTCTTCTTCTTCTTCTATGAACAGTTTCCAAGTTTCCCCAGCTCAATGACAAAAGGTTATTTTGTTTGTTTCGACAGTGCGACGACAAGTTGTTGTGTTGTTTCTTGTTTAGCGAGAGCAGTGATAGGAGTAAGAAAGGTTTATGTGTTCCTAAGTATGCGACCTTTCGCTAGTCGGGAAAAGAAAATGTTGGCTTTATAAGTGAAGTCGTCTCGTGTTTCTTAAAAGGCGCTCTATGTTGAATAAAAAAGTTGCCTAATGTTTCGTCAAAGTCAGCTTATATTTCGTAAAAGGTGCCGTCTTGTTTCTAACCGTTGTCTCTTATTTTCTACACATCACCCTCGGGTTTCTAAAAAGTATCCCTCTGGGTTTCTAAAGTCACCTTCTGGTTTGTAAAAAGATGCCTTCTGGGGTTCTTGAAGTAGCCTTCTGGCTTCTAAAAAGCTGCCTTGTGTTTTCTGAAAGCCACTGTGTGTCCGAGTCGTCAGGGACAGCTGGTGAAAGATGTGTGTCATATCTTGTGTGATTCAAGATGTATCAAAGGACCAAGACATCAAGTGTTTCCCCAACAGAAAAGACATCTTAGCGACTCGCATAGTACCAATGTTAATTATTGACTTACCAAGAGAGGTTAGTGAACGAGTGACTAACGTTGTCCTACGACGCGCCGACACCGCCGAAGACGAGCAAATTAGGAGGAAGACAACTGCAAAGACGACGAGTCTCCTGTTTTCCTAAAGTCGCATCGTGTCCGAGGCAGCCGGGACAGTTAGTAAAAACCTTGGGTTATGCAGTCGACGACGAAGACGACATTAGAGGCGACGATGACGCCGAAGACGACGACCCGCCGAAGTCAACAAGGAAGACGACAACGAGGACGCTGACAACGCCGGAAGCAACGAGGAAGACTTAAGTGACCTAAGATGTCTCGTCAAGAAAAATATCGGGTGGTTGCTGGGTCCCAGGGGCAGTGCACTACTTACTAAGAACCGTCGGCAACTGACTTGACAATACCAGTGAAAGACATGCTCTGTCTCTTGCGTGCTTTGTGGTGTCCCGTAGAGAAAACCATCGAGTGATTTGCTGTGTCAGAAGGACAGTTAGCTACTTAATAGGAACCTTAGGTGACGAATTGTCATGACCAGTGAAAGATATGCTCTTTCTCTTCCGTGGCTTACGGTGTCCTATGAAGAAAAACATCGGGTGACTTTTGTGCGCCAAGGATAGTGATCGGGTTACCCGGCGTCTTCTGTTATCGCCTTGTGAAGACCCGTGAAAGACATGCGATGTCTCGTGCGTCCTTTACGTTGTCCGTCGAGAAAGATATAGCGCCTTTTTTTTTTTTTGGTACCCAAAATTGCCCCAGCTCCCCTTTGCCCCAAGGATAGTGATCGGGTTATCTGGCGTCTTCAGTTATTGCCTTGTAAAGACCAGTGAAAGACATGTAACGTCTCGTGTGTGGTTTACGCTGTCTGTCGAGAAAGACATAGCGCCCTTTTGGCACCTAAAATTGCCCCAGCCCACCTTCGTCGCCTGGTAGCGCCGCCTCTGACCTACAACGTAAACCCTTTATGAGCGGTGATATCTAACAATATGACACAACAGTTCTCCTTTTTTTTTTTTAAACTACAGCTCAACCATATATGTACGGCCAGAACCCGACACTTTGCCACACCTGTCGTCCTTTTGCTATTTTTCCCACTACAATTTAAACTACGGATGAGTGGCCGGCCTCCCATAATATGTTACAAAAGTCGCCCTTCTGTTAACGCTTTCGTTCTTACTGCAACTAAACCCTCCCTAACCTATCAATATCTAACACTATGATAAGACACACGCCAAATGTCGTATGTTTTCCTTTTTACTACAGCTTAAACTATTTCTGCGCGGCCGGCATTCCTTATTATTGTTGACATAAAAGTTGCAATTTTGCCATAAATTCCCATCTTTACCTAAAATCAAAACCTCAATGATCGGTTGGCATTCGCTGCTATGACACAAAAAGTCGCCGCCGTTTTGCCATAAAGTCCCCTTTTTACTTCAACTCAAACCCTTCATAAGCGGTCGGCCTCCTCAATATGTCACAAGAGTCGCCGTTTTGCTATAAATTACCATATTGTTTTTTTTTTAAACTCATACCCTCCTTGAGCGGTCAATATCCAATAATATGTCACAACGGTCGCCTCTTTGTTAAAGTTTTCCTTTTTAACTAAAACTTAAACTATCAACATCTAACACTATGACAAGCCGCCCACCCTTCTATTGTACGTTCTCCTTTTTACTATAGCTCAAACCATCCCTGAGCAGTCGATCTTCGCTCCCATGACACAGATGATGATGATGATGATGATGGCGCTCAAGTCGCCCTTTAGTATATATCCCCGGTCATCAAACCACCTTTCTAGGTTTCTTTACCTAAACCCTAAAACGCCCCCTCCCCCTCTGCCGGCTGTCACTGCTGCCTATGTCTATTTTCATATCCCGTAACTTGTTTCGTTTTATAACATATATATCTCCCGCTAACAACCCACTTCTAATTTTTTGTCTATTACAGAACCCATAAACCAACACCAACCGTTTTAGTCGCCCTGTCGCCCCGTGTCCCTTGCCCCGCCCGCCGCGCTGCTCACCGATGTCAGGTAAGCCCCTTCTATTCTGCCCTCGACCCTATGACAAGACAGCTACCCTTCTGTCGTATGTCCTCCTTTTTACTACAGCTCAAACCATCCCTTCAATACCATGACACAGATGATGATGATGGCGCTCGAGTCGCCCTTTCTAATATATCCCCGGTAATCCGCCACTTTAACCAACATCTGGCCTTGCACTAAAGAAATATTTGCCTTTCCCCGAAGAAAATACCCACACCCCAACATACCGACAATGAATAACCATTTGTTATGGAGACAAAATATCGATTTATGCACCATATGTCTTTCCCCTGAAACCCATCAAGTGTGCTGTCATCAGCCTCCCGATCGATATTAACTAAGAATAAAGAGGGAGGCTGTCCCGATCGATATTTACTAAGGATAAAGAACAGCCTCCCAGAGAGACCAAGCAGATTTGGCCGCCATGGGGAAATGAATCATCCGCCACTTTTAACCAACAGCTGGCCCTGCACTAAAGAAATATTTGTCTTCCTTAAACCAATCCGCCTAAAAATACCCACACCCCAACATACCGACAATGAATAACCAGTATAACGCCACCTGTCACCTGCCGTTATGAAACTAATAAAGAAAATACCCACATACCGACAATGAATAACCAGTTGCTATGGAGACAACGCGCCCAATCTGCCCTTTCTAATACATCCCCGGTCATCATGGCGCCTTCCTAGTCGCCCCGGGTCCCCTGCCCCCGCTCACCTAAATAGTGTTCCTGCCTGCCCCCCGTTTTATATAACGCCACCTGTCACCTACGGCTCCCCTCATACAATCACCTATACAGACATCCACATAAACCCGCACCAACTCTATTAGTCGCCCCGGGTCCCAACCCCCCGCTGCTCACCTAAATAGTGTTCCTGCCCGCCCCCGTTTTATATAACGCCACCTCGTCACCTGCACATATGAAGATTTCCTATACCTTTCCCTAAAACCAATCACTTTGTTAATCATTCCACGTCGCCTTCCTAGGTTTTCTTCCTAGTCGCCCCGGGTCCCCTGCCCCCGCTGCTCACCTAAATAGTGTTCCTGCCTGCCCCCGTTTTATATAACGCCACCTGTCACCTGCAGTTATGAAGATAATAATGCATCTACAAAGTATCGATTTCCTATACCTTTCCCTAAAACCAATCACTTGTGTTGTCATCAGCCTCCCGATCGATATTTACTAAGGACAAAGAGGGAGGGTGCTTACCCGATCGATATTTACTAAGGATATATAACAGCCTCCTAGAAAGAACCCAATCACTTTTGGCCGCCATCTTTTACTAAGGATAAAGAGAGATCGATTTCTCAAATAATACCTGTATTACGCACCCTGACCAGCTCACCGAGGCCCGTCCCCCACGACGTTCCGTTGTGTCCAGAGCCAGCTCAAGGCCCTCTCAGCAACCTCGCCCAGTTGTTCAAGTGTTCGTTTGCGCTCATTTCCCCGTAAGATTAGTTGTTTAATCTCATTGTAAAGTGAAGTTTAATAAAGTAAAGTAATAATAAGAAAAACTCCACAGAGGAGCATGCACAGCAAGGGTCTATCGGTCTTTAGTAGAAAGTCCTTTTTCGTTATTTGTTTCGGCCCGTTATTTCCTAAACAATTTCAAAAGGTGTGCCGACCTGGTTCATGAGTCCAAAGAAAGATCCCTCTTCACGCCTTTAGGCGCATCGGAAATATGGTAAGAGCACCCATTTTTTAAGGACCAACGGGACTACGCGTTGAACCAATAGATAGGGTTATATTAGCGCCTCCCCTCCCCCCGGCAACAGCCAGGTAGGGCTTTAAAAAAAATTGCGTCGCACATTGAGACGCATTTAATTGTAAACCCTATGTATCCCTTTTGCGCGGCAAGCAGAAATATAATATAAACTTTGTTTCGCTTGCAGTTACTTTTTTTTAGATGTTTATCAAAGATGGCGGCGTCCGTAAGAAAACTGATTCTTCTCCCAATAACACAGTATTCTCGAAGGACGTCATTGAGTTATTTGATGCTAGCAAGACATTATGCTGCTCCTGCGAAAAAAATTGGTAAGGGATTGAAACACAATAAAACAACTAATTACTTTAATGAGCAAAGGAAGGGGAAAATTCTGTCCACGTCGGTTGTTGTTAATGATTAACTTAATCATGTTGTTCATCCTCATCCTGCTGCAGCAGGAAAGGAAAGGGTCATACTAATAATAATTATAATAAATACTAAACTAAATACCATACACACAATTAGAATCACAGTTAGTAATTATTTAACAGGTATGCTAGTGACATTCTATATATTAGGATTTTAATTATGAAACATCACATCTGCATAGAGATTAAAATATCCAATCCTAGGATAATGAAGCCTGTAGGGTAGGTCAGTTCTAAGCGAAGATATTGAAATTTTAGGCACTCTTCTTATGAATAACCGGTCCCAAATTATTCACTGTGAAAAACATCCCTTTAAGAGCCTCAAGACGTTATGTAGTAAAAACATTTAGGCCATCATCAGTTTCCACTTTTGCCATTATCACTCGATGGATAGCAATGTTTAGACGTTAAGTAGCTACTTCAGTAAAATTTTTTAAATGCCCTCTGCACCAATAAAACCAGCACAGTTAGATAGCTGTAAACAATCTCTTTCCAATGGTACCTCATTTAGGCTTGTATGTCATTTCTGAGCTGAGATATGTAGGTTTTTGTGGAGATGAGATGTAAGAAACAGCCGCTAAAACTTGTGACCCAGAAACAAGAAGTTTTCTCTGCGCAACCTACTGCGCAGTTCTGTATCGGCTTTGTTTACATTGGACTGTCATTAGACAAGATGGCAGGCAATGAGACACAGCCACTGGCTGAGCCAGCGATTGCCTGAAAAATGTCACTGTACATCTACCAAGCCACCGTTCAGTAAGAAATTTTATACACAAATGTAAAATTGGACGGAGAATTCAATTATACCTAGCATTACCAGGACGAGTAACAGTTAAAGCCTAAAGCCAACTTGAAAAACTTATCGCTATTTTCAATCAAACTGATGTAACAGAAAAACAGAGGATGTCCGGCTGTCGTAGACATGCGCTGTTAATCGGATTCCTTCCCGCTGTTTTCAGCCATTTAGAGTGGGTGAAAATCACACCAATCCCAAAATTTCATGAGAGATTAGGACCCATCCCAAAACCCCAGCCGACATTTCCGAAACAAGTTTCAAACGGTTTCCATGGTAAGGGAAATTGTCGAAAAGATCGCAAATTTCCGAAACTGTAGTCCCTACGTTAAGCTAAGCGACATGGGGAGGAATGGTTTTTGATCCATGGAAGCGGTTTGGGGAGGAATAAATTTTGATCCATTGTGTCAGCATTATGGGGAGTAGTAGTTTTTGATCCATTAAAGCATTGTGGGGACGAACAGTTTTTGATCCATTGTTCACATTACTCGTGACTCCCTTTGTGGGTTCCAGGGCCACATGTTTGATATAAAAAAAATTGATCCAGTGCCACCTAAAAACATGTTGTAAACTGCAACTAATTAGGACATTGCTGAAATCGGATGTGTTGGCACGAAAGACGCAGATATTGCAGCCTAGTTGTAAACTAAAAGACCACGTGCCAACCGCCCTTTTAAGGTAAACAAAAAATAATTATCACTCGGCGGTTAATCAAACACCGGTCACCCGTGTGACAGGTGGGATACTTTCAACTGTACTAATAAAGCCTCAAGTGTTTGGCACAAATAAAATTATATAATAAGGCAAAGCATAGTTCGTAGTGTTCCTATTCCATATTTTTAACTATATGACCTCTTGAGGCCCTGAATGGGATTTGTTAAACCATGAATAATTTGGGACCGGTATTCGGAAGATTACCAAATTTTAGTAGCGAATATCACTAGCAATAACTACTTTGTTTCTTAACGAATCCAATTGCAACTATTTACATTGCAAACAGGGCAGGGAGGCATATTTGTAATTGCATAACTCAAATACATATGATGCAATATGGGCCTAATTAACACAAATACAAATGGCGGCTAGATCACTAGTTTTAAGTAAGCACTTTATGAGTTAATGATTAAGAGAGGTTTAAAGTAAAAAAATATCCATTTAATTACACTTGGTTTTACCTCACACGGCCCGATCTGTCTCTACACAATGTCTAGTCACCTGTTGAGAACGATGCACAACCTCCATAGCTCTAGCTTTAGCATAGCAACGATTTCCAGAGAGCTTACAATTTTTAGACCTTGAGGCAAATGACAAACTTAGCCATGATGTGTTCTGCTTTTACTTTATTTTAACTCTATAACTTGATTGAAAAAAAATGTATGGAGGACTGTGTTAAGTGTTTAGGATGATATCTAACTTATAGTAATCAGAATTCATGCACCATATAAATGTGATTTTATTTAAAACTGGATATACATTGCCACTGTGTAAACCTGTGGATTAGCTGCTCTTTGTGGGTATATACTGTTTGTGTGTTGTTAATTTATTACTGTTGTAGATTTCAAAAATGTAACTCATATAACAGTAGTATTGTATTGTGCATTCAAACACAGTTACTAAAAATGCACCGCCAGTGTGTCATGATGAGGCGAAATTCATGACCTAAGGCCGGAGGTGATCAGATAAAAATATCTCAGCAGACAATTCTATGAACAATGACAGATGCATATAAAAAAATGCTACATTAGTTGCAAAATTAAAAAAGATTAAAATATTTGGAGGTAAAAATATGTCAAACAGAAAATTCTGTGAACTCTAAATAATAACAGAGGCATGAAAAAATGCTACAGTGATTGTGGATTTAAAAAAAAAAAATAACTCACATAACATTACTAATTTAATGAGCATTTTAAATTAATTACAAATAGTTTGAAAAATGGGACTATGCGCTTCTTGAATGACTTGAGTGATTGATTTGTAAATCTGTGAGCTTCAGCTTCACTGTCTACCATCACTTCCAGGGTCTTCATCTCACTTTCTGTTCAGATATTCTTCCAGAGAAGTGGGGATGAAGATACTATTATCATTTGCTGTTTGTGGTTTATATGGCAAAGATGATGACACAAAAATGAGGCAGTGAAGTGACCCACGAAAGTAACTGGAAAATGCCTGATAGGGTCAGATGTCAACCAAAAGACACAGATATCACACCTATGTTGTAAACAAGCACAGCGTTATTCTGTCATTTAGATGAAGGATGAAGACCTAGATTAGCTGTTTTGCTAGAGAAGAGATTTGATTGTGCAGTGGAGCCTGCTGAGAGGTGACAGCATTCACCTTCTGGTTTCTAGCTTATATCTCTCTTTCAAAACAGTAGGATAATTGTAGTTAATGCCAGTGTTATTATCGGTTGGATGTACAGATTTCTGAATAACATTCATTCTTTTACCTTTTATCATTTATTAGAATATAGGTCCTCAATCATCTTATGCTAAATATCTCTTTTACTGATTCACAGATAATACACAAATAAAGAAGAAAAAAACACACTTATAATGGATACAGAGATGTTAGATGTTAGAATTTGATTAATTTTGATAGTTCAGTTAAGAAGTTTGCCACATGAATGGGGTGGGATAAGAGCATTGACATCAACCATGAAAACCGTTATTTCACGCCATGTAGCTTTGAAATTTATGCTTGTCCTCTGCTTTGTCTCATATACAGTATAATCATTTCTGACACAGATGATCTTCCATAACATTATATCAGACTGTCCAGCACCTTCTCTCTTGGTATCCCTCTGCATCTCTTCCCCTCCAGTTGTCCAGCATTTATGATGTACCCCAGTTTTCTCCTCCTTATGATGTGACCAAAGAATATATACTTTCTTATAACGTGGAATTTGTTTTATTGTAAATACTTTTAATTTCCACTGACTTTTATTATATTGTATCATTTTTATTTCAGTTGGCAAAGTCAGTGCCCAGAGTGCCCAAAAGTCCAAGCTGCAAGTTGAGACTGATCCAGAGAAACTGCTGAAGTACTGCTGTGGCGCTTGTATTTATGTGGATGGCAAAGATCCTGAAATCAAGGCAGATTCAGAGTATCCTGACTGGCTGTGGACACTGCATACAGAGCGTAGTCCTAGAGATCTGTCAGAGCTTGACCCAATGACACCTGAATATTGGGTTCAGATTTCACGCTTTACAAAAAATAGAAATAAGAGAGTATGGAAAAGACTTCAAAAGTTGAAGGATATTCAGTATCCAGATGACAAAATTGGAGTTTCATAATTATTTAAAGTATGCTGTGTGCAGAGATTAGAAAAATGTTTATTCAAATGTTATTGTAATTATAATTCTAAGCAGCCTTAGGAAATGACATTTCAGAGTGTTGTGTTTTATTGGATACTATGGAATAATTGAATGAAATCTTTCTGCTCAAATACAAAAAAAAAAAAAAAAAAAAAAAAAAAAACAAATTATATATATATATTGATATATATACCAAAAATATCATACATGCAGACAGATTTCACAGCTTCGCAAATACTGTGTTACCACATATTTGCTACTTCCCTCTCTTTATATATATATATATATATATATATATATATATATATATATATATATATATATATATATATATATATATATATATATATATATATATATAAAGAGAGGGGAAGTAGCAAATATGTGGTAACACAGTATTTGCGAAGCTGTGAAATTGTCTGCATGTATGATATTTTTGGTCTTTGAATACATTACAGTAACAGTGTGTTGCATGGAGATTTTTAAATAACAACCTATATATATAATGAGAAATGTCAAAAATGACCAGACTTGTGACAGTTATGATCCGCTCAAAATTGGTGGCAACCCTATTCCGGAACTTCGCTACGCAGATGACACAGTCCTCCTTTCGAACAGCGTAAAGGGAATAACAAATTGAATATTGTCTGTGCAAAAGCACAGTGAAGATCAAAATCTGTTCTTGAATTTAAAAAAAAAAAACGAAAATAATGTCCACAGATAAAACTGGCTGTCACCCAAAAATAACAATAAACGATGAAGAAATTGAAAATGTCACAAACTGTGAATATCTAGGCTCTATAATAAATAGCAATGGAGACTGTTTGACAGAAATTAAAAGGAGGATGACCATAGCAATGCAAAGATTAAACAGCCTAAAAAGTCTATGGTTAAGCACCAGCAAGGTGATAAAAATTAGAATTTTGAGAGCATGCATCTTCCCTGTGGCTACAAACGGATGTGGGTCGTGGACTATCTCTCAGTCCTTAAGAAAGAATAGGAGCTTTTGAACTGAAATGCTATAGAAAGATTCTCAGAATATCTTGGACAAAGAAGAGGAGAAATACTGACATCTTGAAAGATCTGGACATCAAGGAAGATTGGCTAATAAACAGCATCCTGTCTCGGAAGCTGAAATATTTTGGTCATATCCAGCGCCACGAAGGATTGGACAAAATTATAGCAGAAGTCATGGTACCAGCAAGGAGGGGCAGGGGCTGACTGACACGAAGATGGGCACAGGATATAAGTGACTCCTTAAGTATGAAAGTACATGAGGCGTGAGAACTGGTGGAAGACAGTTTCTTTCAGGCAGACTGTGATGAGAGCGACGTTCTGCAAAGGACCTGCTGCATGATGATGATATAAATTTGATACTAAATTTTATTCAGACACTGAAGAGATGCATGTTAGCTTTTCACAACCATCATACAACACATAGCTACTGTATTTCAATTTAAATATGGCTGAATATGTCAAGTAATGGAGATGTTTAAAACAAGTAGCCTCTGCAGAGCTATATAATAAATAAATAAATAAATATATATATATATATATATATATATATATATATATATATATATATATATATATATATATATATATATATATATATATATATATATATATATACAGTGACCCATTAAAGAAATAGTTCTTATCAGACATTTAATTTCTCTTATCCAGATAAGGGTTCAAGCAAGAAAAATTGCAGGGGATAATCAGATTTGTTTTTTACAACAGAAATTCAGTGCATCCATGATTGCTTAAGTAGTCTCGCACTGTATATATAGTGTGCAGCCAAATGAGCATTAGTTGGGAAGCCAAAGAAGAAGAATAAACTAACACAGAACTGACACATTCAACTGGCTCCTACATGCTGCAGATTTTACTGAGGAGGGTGGAGCTTCCTTTAAAGCCATATTTCATCTACCTGAGGAACCAACAATTTGCACACAAATAAATGAGATCTGTAAAATGGATGTGCACGCAACGCTCAGGTTCTAGAAAAAGGCTCATGTCCAGAAGAGGTGGACAAATAACCAAAACTTTTCCCTGGAGTTTACTGCTGGTGAAGAAGAAGCCTGAGGAGCGGCTCTGGGCACTTGTGGATTCAATGGTTGGATGTGCAGTGAGGATGATCTGTCGACTAACTCTGTCTTTCTGTGTGCGTGCGTGTGAGAGAGAGAATAAGTGTAAAATAGGACTACAAATAAGTTGTGAGAAAACAAAAATATTAAAGATACCAACAATAGATAATGTAGATGTTACACTAGAGAACCAGCCAATAAAAGTAACGGACCATTTCGCCTATTTGGGTAGCAATTTTGACTCACAAGGAGATACAACAGAGTCAATTGTTAGTTTTAATTTCTTTTGACCTCCACAAATTCCCTGGTGCTTTGAAAGCTCGTCTTGCTTTTTGAATTCATTTTTTTATATATCTATCAGTTCCCCTATTTTTATCTACATTACTCCCCAAATATGTGTAGACTCCACGTCTTGGAGTGGGATACCATTAAAAAACCACATTTGCCTGATTTATTCTCTTTAACTTCGTCTTTCCCTGATAGATTTTCAGGCCTAGCTGGTGTGATCTCGCATCAAGTATATATTAAATTTATCTTGCATCTGACCCCATGAGTGGGACAGAAGAGAAATATCATCAGTGCTGCTAAAGTCCGGGGGTGGAAGAACAACCAGACCTTTCCGCTGGAGTTTACAGCCGATGAACATGAAGAAGGAGAAGAATCTTACGACATGCATCATAGGTTAGTGTTCCCTTTCTGTGTTTTCCATTATGGACAACACTCACCTGGAGATATTGTCATCACTGGGAATAGTGGGACTTTTCTGACATGTTGCATTGGCTCAGTGTGGATAGGTTGAATCTCGGCACAGTAAGGGTTATTTACTAGAAGCAGAGTGTCATCAGATATAAAGAGCTTTACCAGAGGAGTCATCGTCGACCGTTGGCTGGCCGGTAGACGACCCCCCGTTTGGGACAGTATTTGGGGGTCTGTCTCCTGTGATCGCATTAACACTGCAGTTCTTTTTAGAGCTACTTAGTGGCGAGCAATGCTAAGCCATTTTATGTGTTGCACATAACCTAGTCACAGTTATTAACCAAAGCTCCCCTTTCGGGGATGCTCGTTGAACGTGGCGATTGGTAAAAAAATTTTTGGAGCAAAGCAATGACTGCAAGAGGAGTTTAACACCAAACGTCTTCAAGCTTTTTAAAGCAAGACGTTGAGATGAAGCAAAAAACAGCACAGCTGACTGCAATGGTGGTGTGGAATTTATTTAAGAAGTTTTAACAGTGCCTGCAAATTAAGATTATTAACTCTTTTGGTACCTTACGACTCGTCATGTCTGCTTTAGATTAAAGATTTTCATCCTTTTTCATATGTCGACATCTGTCCTGTTTTGGTTTATTATTATTATTTGGCTTCCTGCATAGGGCTTTGGTCTGGCCACACACTTTTGAACTTGTTCTTGCAGTCTGGTCATGGCTTGGTTCATGCAAACATCTCACCTTTCATTGAGCATTCAATATATCAGCTTGGTCTATGGCTCATCCGCCCAACACAGTAGCTTTACCTGCCAGCCTATCAGCTTGCTTATTTCCTTTCACAATTGCGTGCCCTAGCACGAATAAGAGCTAAAATCCAAGCCTCACAGTTAATAACAGCAACATCAAAAGAGGCAAACTGAGGTACCTGGATAGCATTTTCAATAGAAGTTTCAGGGATTACATGGAGGCAGTTGCAGTGAAATACCAAAAAGGACCTAATGCTCTCGCGATGAAAGGGCTTAATGTTCTAAAGATTTATGGCAGCAATGGACATGAAACCAAGAATGCTGTTCACAATGGTCCAGCATGTGATCCTGTCGGTGATAGATTATGGACTTAAAATGTTTACCATATAAAAGACTCAGCTGAGGAAACTTAACACGTAAAAAATGAAACCATGCGTTTAATTCTGGGAGGTACAGGTGATACCCAGTGGTATAAATGCGATATATACTTGCACTGCCTACTATTGCTGATAGGCTCAACCCCGACTGCTTCATAGACTCCAACCACTGTCTTCGGACCCAGTACATCTCTGTCTTCCTCGGCATTGAGAACCTATGCACGGGTAAAGGTCTATGTCTCCAGCCATGTTATTGCTTTGGTCACTGCCATGACCTCCATAGTCAGACTACTTGTAGTCAAGGCAACAGCACCAGAATCCTCCTGCTTCACAGAATCTTGCGTATCGAAAATGTGATGCCTGACTCACATTTTTGAATACCAATCGACACTTCATGGGTGATGCGATCAAAATCACGCCGGTCAACTTGGGGGACAAAAGTAATAGACCCATGCTGCCTTACAATCATGCAGTAAAAGGCGTCTACTTAGGGGTGTTTTCTTCGAAAAAGAGTACATCTATCTAGAGGCGAAAAGCAAACAATCTGCATACAAATAAGCCTGATCGGTAAAGCATCGGTGTGCACGTAAAACTCAAGATCTGGAATAAGGCCAAAATCCAGAAGTGGCCGAACAAACAGAACCATCTACCGAGATTTACAGGCAGTGGACACGAAAAAGAATACTTCTTATGACGTTACCGGATACTAACACTGTGGCGGGTCAACCCGTGAACCAATGTCATTTCAAAAAAAAAAAAAAAATTTAAATTCGATCAGATACGAATCCAAAATCTTAGTGTTGAAAGGTGAGCCGTAAGCCTCTGGGAGGTTAGTGGTGCCGTTCAACTTCACCGGAACCGCACAACGAGCGATTAACACCTGAAGATTAAACCCCGTTCAACTGATATGTTAAATTAGGACCCCCCTGACATTAAAGTATACAATCTCGTTCCATTCTGTGACAGTTTTTTTTTAGCGTGTAGGCCGCTAGATAACTGCAACTCCTATTTATACCACGGAAGGGATTGACCTATGAAAGATGCAAACAGCCGGAAATGGAG